CCTCTCCTATCATTTATGACATTACCGTTTATTAGGTCTTTTTCACATTAGAACTAAAAAAAAATAGATTGTGAATTTTTCATTGACTCAAGAAATCTAATGGAATTTTTTGCGGATGAAACTTGCCGCCATGAATGATTATATAGAAGTGAACAAAATGGAGAATCTTAGAATATCTGTGCTTTATAAAAAAAGAAGAAATACGTTGGCGTTTACACTACTAACCTTAAACCTTGATATTGCCCACCTAAGAAGGCTTGATTTCCCTGATCCCGCTCTTCCATGTAATAGGCAAGGAGATTTCGATTTCCCGGAGAGGTAGGAATTTATTATTCGAGTCTCCCGATACCTTGACAATTCCATCTCTTTTGTGGACCATTCGAGGTGACCACTTTCTGCATACGGAGGTGGAACTTCTGTTGAAGCTATCATTTTTTCATCTTCTTCCTTTCTTACCAAAGCCTCATCGAGATGGAGTTCAGGGACTGCTAACTTATATTTATTGAGTGGGGATTCGTGTGATAGAGATGCGCCTATTTCTGGATCATATGAATCTCCGATTTCGGAAAGGCCAATTGTAGACTTCAGATATTTCTTTGATTCTTGAATGGCTTTAACGGGCAGGCACGTTGGTTGGCGAGGCTTACCTGTAGCACCAATTTTGGATTCAAGCTGGCTTGTAAGGTGGCAAGTAATTTCGGCTTGCAGGTGGGCGGGAATCTTATTTTTCAACATATCTTTGATATATTTTACTGAAAATAAGAAATATTCAAGTTTGTCGGTTTAATGAACAGATGGTTTAAAAAACTACCTATTGACACTAAAACAGTTTTGACCAGATGGTTGAAAAAACACTATCGAGTTTGAGGTATAAGCTATGTATATATTTCTATAAAGCTTTCAACAAATTATCAAAATCAATTTCACAAAATGACATCAAACATAACTAGTCTAATTGTATAAATAATAAAAATAATCATGTAAAACATTAGATAACCGACGCGGCATCTGGGAAAACTTTAAAAAAAAGCGTATACGGCGTTTGGGCTGGATGCTATCAAAGAAAGTCCTCAGCATTAGGTCTGAATTAAAATTGATACTTAATTATTTAAAGCTACTTATTTCATTCGAGTAAGAATCTAATTTAAGGGAAATCCATTCACATGCATGGGGTTGTTTATATCTCATGCAAAAGCATAAGTGGATTGTTCCTAGAGTCATTTCGACTTATTTTACATAATTTGATGGTATGTGAGGTTTGAATTAAAGAATATTCCGAGAGTCAAAGCAGAAGCCTGGCAGAATGTAAGTGCAAGCTTAGGGTCCCTCATTATTAGTTTCGACATGCAACTGCATTCAACACCATTTGATTTCCACTGAACATTATGTAATACTTCAATTGGTCATTTCCATTCCATGATCGAGAATTAGGCTGTTGACACGATTACCCTCAGTTTATGAAACTCATCTTGTTCTGAACATTACATTTATTAATTGGGGTTTGTCTTCACAATATCTTTATAGAAAACTAACACACATGTTTTGTTAGAAAAATGGTTACAATAAGATTACATAAAAAAGTTTAGCCAGTAATAAGTCCTAATCGGATAGTAAGTAAATCTTCCAAATTGGGAACTTTTCTTATTGATAACCAGACT